TCTATTTAGGAATTAAATAGCGGAAGTTATTACTTATTTTACAATTATATTCGGGTTTAATTAATTCTTAATAAATATTTTAATTTTCCCTCCTTCCTAGTTGGATAACCTTTTATCCCTAACCGGTCTAAGTTCCTTTAATAGAATTCCTCTAGCTTCTTAAAGTAATTCAAATTCTTAATAAATTCCTAAATATCATTTTCAGGACCAAAGGTTTCCTATTTAATAAAATATTCCAATTCTCCTTTTTCTATCCTTAAATTTAAAATTTATTTTATATTCTATTCTTCCTCCTCATCCTTAATACTAATATATATATTAACTCGTACATTCTTAGGTACTAATTCTAATAGTATAATATAGAGTAAATATAATTTTAATTTTATAGTATTAAGAATATTCAATTAATATACTATATTAGAAATTTTCTTTTTAATTTTAAATAATCCTATTCGTCAGTTATCGAATTTCTTATTAGGTCTCTTTATTCTAAGGTTTCTAATCGATAAAAGGACTTTATCCCCCTCCTTAAAATAAAATCCCTCGAACCTTTTTAAATTGAAATACCGGCTTATCTTTTATCGAACGAATTCTAATTCTTCCTTAAATTTCTTAAATAATATATATAATTTTCCGGCCTTAACCGAAACCCTAGGGACGTTCGTATTTAATCCTTCTAAAAATTCTAATTTATACCTATAATTTATAAAGAAAGGTAAAACCTTTGTAATTTCCGTAAAAAAAGTATTATATATTAATTATATTATAAGTAGTGTCACGTCACGTAGATCTCGAGTGCTGGGATACGAATAATTAGACGAATGTAATAAATAATTAAAGCTAAAGAAGAAGAAGAAGCTAATTACATCGGATAGAAGGAGTAATAGCCTTATATATTTGAGATAGAAGGATTGAATATATATGTAATTTAGTATATCTAGCAGCGCTATAATATTACCCCCTCCTTCGAAGAAGATTTAGCCCTAGAGTCGAAGAGAAGTAAAGATTGAAATAATAGGACCCGATAATCTGGATAGGTATACCTAATATTATAAGAAGTAACGCAATTTAGAATATATAAAAGAAAAGGATAAAATGGAATCTCAATATTTAGTATAACTACTATACGCTATATACTCTAACTTGCGCTCAAAATTAAGCTTAGAATTAATTGAATAATCATATCCGAACTTATAATTAGAATCCTCTTTATTGTTATTATTATCGTTATTGTTTAATTTTATAGTATTAAATAAGAGACCTTCAACTATATACAATTGTGCCCGAGAGTAGGACGGTTTAGTTAGTTCTAAAATTGAGATAGTGGCTATTAATTTTTTAATTGCTTAAATAGTATCAATTTCTATAGTATTTTTATCTTTAAATTTATAAATAGAATTTACGACTTCTTTGAGTTTTTATACGTAATCTATATAAATAATTGGAATTAAGCGGAGAAATTGAATATATTTGCGAATATCCTTATTGAGAATTTGGCGGATGAGAGAAATTTTTATTAATTTAATCTAAAGGTTGGCTTTTGCTTTATAGAAAAGCCTTTCAAATTTAACTATAAATAGATTAAAGCCTTTATTACCTTAGCGGAGTACATAGAGAGTGTTTTCGGTTTGTTGGATTTTGTAAGGATTATTATAAATATAGTTCAATTAATCGAGTAAATCTTGAGGATCGAAAACTTAAAGTTCCGAAGTTTATTAAACCTAGGGTATTATTAAGACTTAAATCTTTCTATCGAATTGGGAGAAGAAATACTAAAATTAGGCTTCAATATTACTTATAGTATTTCTATCGATCCTAAGTTTTACTTAGATAGAAGGGAGTTAAGTTTCGAAAGTATAAGTAGCGCCGTTAAATTTTTTAATATTAGGAAATTTAGTTTTAGGTTTTAAGTTAAATTTTAGAAGCGCTTAAATTAGGGCAATATTATTATTAAATACCTTATTTAAAGTAATAATATTCTTCTTAAGTATAGAAAAGGCTTTCTTATATTTATTTATACAATTAATTTACTTTTAAAGGTAGTTGGCCAAAAATTCGAGGTTTAAAATAGGGGATTGTAGTTACTCCTCGGCTATAATTGTAAATAGTAGCAATAATTACTCTAATAATCCGAGAGATACCGTAAATAATAGAGAGAATAGAGTAATAAAGAACGAGAAAAGAGGAAGTATTTAATTTAGTTATTGTTAATATTATTAAAGTAGGTCTATAATTATTAGTATTAGTTTTAAAATAAAGGATACTAGATGAAATATAGTTTAATATAGCGGGAATTTAATATATATTTCAGGAAGATACTAGATAACGGAAATTTATATTACAACGCCGGCGGTCTAATAATAAACTATTAAATTTAGTATTTGCCTATTAAAGAGTAGAGAAATAAGGGGAATAATAGAATTTGAATTAAGTTATTAGAATTAGGAAAGAAGAGAAATGGGCTAAATTACGTTAAATTACGGTTGAAGTCCCGAATAGAAGGATCGCTATTGTACTATATCTTTAACCTTAAATTAGCCGTTCAATTAGTAATAAATCCAATATTATTTAATCCGATTTAGAGGGCTATAGCTCCAATAAAGAAATGTAATAATCTATTATCCTAAAAGAGTTCGGTTCTAGCGATATACGCCCAATTTTCGAATATAGCTATAAATATTGAGATAGTCCAATGTTCCGGAATCCGTAGCGGTTGGGATAAGAGGGAGTTTAATATAATACAACCCGTAGGAAGGATCTTTAATTAAGTATTACGTTACATAAATTTCGAATATTGGGATACGAATAATTAAACGAATATAATAAATAATTAAAAATAAAGAAGAAGAAGAAGCTAACTATATTAGATAGAAGGAGTAATAGCCTTATATACTTGAAATAGAAGGACTGAACATGCACGTGATCCAGCATGTCTGGCAGCGCTATGATAGTTAATAATTCGCTAAAGTAGTTTAAATACTCTTATAATTTATCTATTAAGCTATCCTTCTTCGAAAATTGATAGTACTTTTTAATTTTTATACCTAACCACCGTTTTAAAACAATAATTTTTTATATATTAAGTTATCGACTACCGTAACTTTCTAAGCGTAATTTCTTAACGGGAGTATTCTCCCGCCCGAGTACTATACGCTCTATTATAATAAGAGAGTAATTAACTTCCAATAAAAAAATAATATACTTTTAAATAGTTATTAGTATTGTAATTTAATTATATATCAGTATATTATAAATATAATTGTTAATAATAGTAATTTTATAAATCCCTTCTAGAATTTCTTCTAATTAGAGATTTGTAGAATAATTACTAAATATACGAATAGTTTTTAATATAAGACTAGTTCCGCTACTATTATTTAATTTACTTTAGTATAAGCGATAGCGGTAACGGTTTTACCTAATATTAGGTTTTAACCTTTTTAGTCTATCCCTTCTAATTTAAAAGTATAAAATCTACCGCTAATCATATTCCTATTTATTTTTACTTATTGAAAATTCGTTTATTCGAAAGTAATATTTATAAATAGTAGTTATTTCCTTTAGAACGTAGAGACTACTATTAAATATCCCTAGAATAATTCGGACTAGTTTAATAGGCTCCCGGTTTCGTATCCTACAACGGCTACCTTATAGTTCGGATATAGGGTTAGCACCTCTACTAAAAGGCAGGGAGGAAGGGGGTAGTAGTAAAAAAGGGGGTATTAATAAAGAAGGGGAGGGTAGTAGTAAAGAAGGGGGTACAAGCGAGGAAGACCTTTGCGGATTTGCTTGTCTTGGTTTTTTTAGTTATTACTGTTGCTTATTAGAAGGCTTATTAATAAATTTCACTTCGCTAGTAATAGGAAGCGAACCCGGTATAAGTATTAATAGTAAATTTATTAATTTAGGGGTAGAATAGTTTAGTCCTCACTATTATTGGTTTTTAATTTTAGGTACTAATATTAAGGGAGGGAAATATATATTATAGGCGGTATTTATAATATTTATATCGTTAGGCCTTATATTATTAAAAAGTAGTTGAGTAAACTCTTACTTATTTAGATAAATAGTAGATATATTTATTGTATATAAATATTAGTTTAAAATAAAAATAAATTAATAATTATAAATAATTTATTTATTTTTATAGTTGTAATTGGGGTAGGTTTATATAATAATTTTAATTTAGGTTGCAGGATATTATATAAACGACACGCGAGCGAGAAATGGGATGAACGCAATATGGATACGACGAATATAGATTGTACGGAAATTGGAGAGGATCCGCGGCTAAAATAGTACAAAAATATTAAAATTATTAGTACGCGCTTACGTAAGACTTTTAGCGCTTGAAAAAAGGTATTTTTATAGCTAATGCTCTGTTATATGTGCTTCCTAAAGCGGTAATTGGGGATTTGTACGCGGACCTGGATACCGAATCCCCCTAGATCGCCGCCATAGTTCGGGCAACTTCCAGAAGAGGACACATCCCGGACACTGGTGAGCCCTGTGAGGAAGGAGCATGGGGTGGAGTTGTCAAAAGGTCCCCCTTCCCGTCCCGTCATCACTCAACTTGACCCCGCCATTGTTTTGTGTTTCGAGTCCAGAATATTTTGGAGGATGGGAAACGGGTTGGGGACGAATTCTGTAGACCACGCGGGGCATGGACACAATAAGTACCTCCATCCATGGAACCTATTCGCCCGGAAGCAAGCGACTTCTCCTCCGTCGACCTCCAACTCGGCAACTCCCTACCAGGTTGCGACTCTCTATCTCGCTAACGTCGTATGACTTCAGCCCGCAGCATTTTGCAATGTTTTATTTGCCCCCACAATTACCGAGTGCTCAATGCGCCCTCGGCGCTTGTTCTTCTTCCAGAAACTGTCATGTGAAGAAAAGGTGAGCTCGGTGAGCCAAGAAGAGTCACCTCGGTGTGTTGACCATATCCCGGCACTCGGTCTTCACTCACTCCGAGTCACCTTTCACCACGCTTTACTCACTCTCAAAGCCTAGAGATAAGCTTGTCGACGGACCACCATCTTGTCTCCACGATCAACAGCTTGATTGGCAGGGGGGCTGCCAACACATTCGGACACGTCTGTTCGTGGAGACTATATAACCCAACGCATTGCCTTTTGTATTGAACCATACCAACATCATTCTCACCATCATCGACCTCATCAGCATCAACATCACCCAAGATGGGCTCCCATCAGAAGGTCAACTATGGTGATAAACCCATCCTCCTCTTCACCAGCATCCCAGCAACTGGTCACATAACTCCCACCCTCCGCATAGCTTCCGCCCTCCATGCTCGCGGCTGGCCCGTCTTCTACCTTGGCCCTACTGCCCACAAGGCCACCATATCCGCCACCGGAGTCCAGTTTCTCCCCTTTCTCGACGACGCAGACTTCAACGACTTGACGTACTTCGTCCCCCAGGGGGAGGGGGCCATCACCGAAAAAGATGCAGTGGTCCAAGGTACTACTTCTGAACCAACCTGGCGCGACCGCGTCTTCAGCGACTTCCGGGAGTTTTTCATCTCCCCCATTCCGGCTCGGCACCGCTCCCTATGTGCCGCCTTAACCCACATCCACCAGCTTTTCCCCCCTTCTTCTGCTCGAGTGGTAGTAGTAGCAGAATCAACGTCCAACTTCCTCCTCCCTCTCTTCCACGGGGCCCCCCTCCCTCCTTCCATTCCCAAGCCAATCGGCTCCATTGCTCTAAGCGTCATGATCCCTCCCCTCCGGTCTGTGGACATCCCACCATTGGTCTCTGAACCGATAGAGTTTGATACTACTCCTGCTTACCGAGAACGGGTCGCCAAGATATGGAGGGACTGGGAGATGGAAACAAGGGGTCTAAAAGAGTTGCTGGTGGAGAAAGTGGAACAAGCAGGCGGCAAGGACTTTGCCAAAGCCATGGAGACACGCGAAAGGGAAAAGGGTCGGGAAAGCTGGGCATTGCTTAGCGGGGAGTGTTTTGTTGGGTATGATCACGTTTGTCAGATTGGTGTTGAGAGTTGGTTTTACAAGACGGAAGAGGGGTGGCCGGCGAATTGGCGGTTTGTCGGTGCGGTGCCCAAGTCGGTTCCTGTTCTTGAGGAAGCAAAGCAAGCCTTGGTGGATGAGGTCAAGCTGGCGAGGGAGAAGGAAGGAAAGAAAGTGGTCGTGGTAGCGCAGGGAACCGTGGAGATTGACCCGAGGCATCTTATCCTTCCAACCATTCAAGCTTTGGGTGGACGAGAGGAAGACACCCTGGTGGTGGCCATCTTGGGACACCGCGGCCGAACACTACCAAAGGACGTGGCAGTGCCCGCTAACGCAAAGGTGGTCGACTACCTCGCCTACGACGCCATCCTCCCCCACACCGACGTCTTCGTGAGCAACGCTGGCTACGGTGCGGTGATGCACGGCATTGGTCACGGGGTGCCGATGGTTGTCGCGGGAGAAGAACAGGACAAGAAGGAGAACGTTGTGCGGGTGCAGTGGCGTGGACATGGAGTTAAACTGAGCAAGTCGTGGAGAGACGACAAGGAGTATGTGAAGGAGTTAGCAGAGGCTGTTGGGAAAATTATGGACGAGGAGGAGGGGAGGGAAGTAAGAAAACGGGCCATGGAACTGAAGGAGGAAGCGGACAGCATCGATTGCATCAAGACCGTCGAGGAGTGCCTATCCTCCTACTTGTAATCCATTAGTACACCTCAACAAACCAACCAACTAAACTATAGCTTGCTCCCCTTCCCCTTCTTCTCAGGAGCAGCAGCCATAGCCATAGCCTCCGCCCTCTCCATCACCTCCAAATCCCTTGGCACCCTCACCGCCGTCTTAATCACCTTCTTCACCACCTCCCCTCCCTCTGTCTGTTCTTCCTTCACCTCTTCCACCTCTTCCATCCTGAAATCGACTAATACCACCCTCTCCACGTCTCCTCCTCGCCCACTGTCCATCAACTCCCGTCCCGGTTTTGCCAGTCCCAGAATCACCCGTCCGTTGCCATAGCTCCCCTGTTTAGCAAAGCTCACCACCTCAGGACTCATGACCTTCTCCGCCCACGGGATGTCAGAGGTCGGATGCTTCACTGAACTCGTCGGTACCCGGCGCAGGAAGGAAACAAGCCTTTCGCGCTGCTCGTCGTAGTCGGAAGATTGTTTGGGCAGGAACCGGCTGATAAGGGTCAAGAGGTAGAACTGCGGTGGGTAAAGGATAATTTCGCCTGCTGAGGCCTTGGCCAGCCAGGTGGAAGGAGAATCAAACAGTGCGGCGGTGTGTTCTACGCCGCCATCGTGGGTAGGGGTTTGGACCACCGTTGTAGTCTGCGATTCGGCGGTGGTGGTGTTCAGGGGAAGCATGTACAGGTACATTTGCGTGGTGAACCGTTTGCGTTGGTTTTGGGGCGTGATCCAGCGGGTGAAGGGGATGAGGTTTTCTATATAGGTATTTTTTGTTAGCTTCTTGTTTCCTCTTTTCCCCTTTTTCTTCTTTCCGTCATGACGAAGGACCAAAAGTGGAAGATAGAAAATAAGGCAAAGACTCACCAACATCAGCCACCCCACCTTTCCCCTCTAGCCAAGCAGTAAACTTGACCCGATCCCCAAATACCTCCCTTCGACCCTCTTCCAGCTCCTCCTCGCTCAACTCCAACATTTCGTTTTCCCCACTACCACTACCATCTTTCCGTCTAGCCAACAAAATCCCACTCTCCTCAAATGTTTCCCTCACCGCCGCTAACCTGTACGCCTCACTGTCCCTGTGCAACTCCCCATCTTTCGCTGGCAACGGGTAATATTCACCCTCGTGAAACTCGGATAGATTTCCGCCAGGGAAGACGTGAGCAGAAGCAAAAGAGGTGGATTTGGCAACGCGGTGGAGTAGTAGGACTTGATTGATGGGAGAGAGTAGGATGACGGAAGACGAAGGGCGGATGGGAAGGGGGCCTTTGTCTGCCCCTGAGGAAGAAGAGGGTTTGGATAGGGGTGGGATTTCGGGTTTTGATGCCGGGGGCATGGTGGTGGTGAAGGGTCTTGTTGATGTTGGTGTTGGAGGGTTGTATCGGGATGTGTGGCGGGATCGGGATGCAGGCAGGGTCTTGCGGGGTGGGTGTTGTGGGATTCCGGAAAGACTGCTCAGCGTGCGTGTCTGGGATCGGAGAGTGGATGTTGACAAGTTGAAGTTGAAGACGTTGCTGGAGATGCCACTTCGAGTTGTGAAGCGGAAACGAGCCGAACTCATGTTTTTGTTTCTCCCTTTGTTTCGAGATGTGAAGAGATGAGGCTGATAAAAAGCGAATCCACGTGTCTCTTTCGAAAAAATGGCTTTCCCCGGACTTGTTGCGAAGGGTTACGAATGCCGGAATCCCGTTCAACCTCGGTTCGTCCGTTGGGGTTTGCCTGGTGTTTACTTGATCGGTTCCAGGTTCCCCGCATCCGTCAGCCAAGACAAATGGCCCTGAAAATAGTGGCCCCACAGCGCCTCTTTAGCGCACCGGGGCCCGGTTCCCGGCCCCTCTCCGGGGTGGGGACGCCGTTATCCCCGGATGTCCGTATCCACCGCCAGCGGCATCACCGCATCATTATTTGCAACTCTGCAAAACAACAGATAGGTAGGCTTCGATTCGGTCATAAAATCATCTTTCAATCACTTCCCAAATGCGGATGTTTACTATAGGTGCGTGTGTGCACTTCAAGACGGGATGCAGTCGTATATCACCATGCCGTGGTTGGATGTAGAAGCTCGTCGTACTTTTTTTTTCACACATAAAAAGCCATAGCCAGGATCATAAACAACTACCCAACCCTAGGTCCCCAAGAACAACACTATCCCCTTTCACAAATCCCTCGCCAGCCCTCTCTTGTAAGCATCCAACGCCCTGTCCCTTGCACCCGAATGCTCCACAATCGGCCTCGGATACCCCTTCTCCTCCAACTTCCTCTTGACCTTCTCACTTCCGCGTCCATAAGGATCATGGATCTCCCCACCTTTGCCGCCCTTCAAATCGGGAAGGTCCCTCAACTCCTCCACCCACTTCCTGATATAATCGCCATCAGGATCAAACTTCTCGCTCTGCAGCAGCGGGTTAAACACCCTGAAGTACGGCTGCGGGTCCACGCCCACAGAAGCAGCGAACCCCCACCCCCCATTGTTGGAGGCAAAGTCCCCATCAATCAGGTGCTCCATGAAGTAGCGCTCGCCCATGCGCCAGTCTACTAGCAGGTCTTTGGCGAGGAAGGAGGCGACGATCATGCGCAGGCGGTTGTGCATGTAGCCCGTGGCGAGGACTTGACGCATGGCGGCATCGATGATGGGGAAGCCGGTGCGTCCCTGAGTCCAGGCGTGGAAGTGGTCGACGTTGTAGGACCACTCGATGTTGGAGTAGGTGGGTTTGAAAGGTTTGTTCATGCTGCGATGAACGGTGTTAGGGCGAGTTGAAAACCTACTTGGTGACAGGAAGGTTGAAAACGTACCAGACATATGGCCAGTGAACCAAAACATGCTTATAAAAATCTCTCCATGCCACTTCAGAAATCCACCTCTGAATCCCCTCGTTCCCGCCATTCAGCTTCTTGGTATTGTTCCTGTCCCTCGCCGTGCGTATCGCCGTCCTGGCGCTCAATGTCCCCGAAGCAAAGTGCACTGAAAGGTTGCTCGTCCCCTGCATGGCCGGGATATTTCTCCTCTCTGCATACTTGCCGATAGCCTCGTCGCAGAACTTCTCCAGCCTTTTGAACGCTTCGTGCTCGCCTGCTGGCCATATAGAGTGGTACCGAGCTTTTTCGTCATCTTGCAGTCTTTTGCCCTCTGGAGCCTCAGGAATAGAGCAAGCGAAAAGGTTTTCGTGCTTCTCCTTTGTGCCGGGAGGGTTTGGCCCAGGCTTTTCGTAGATCTCCAAACACTCCGGGTTTTCTTCCACGTGCTTGATCCACGCTCGAAACCATGGGCTGTAAACGGCGTATTGCCCTCCGCTTCCACTTTGCAGTGCTCCTGGCATAACAACGCAGGTATCGTGAACCACGTCCGCTGCCATCTTCTCACCCTTCTCCCCTTCCGCCAGTAACTTGACCAGCTTCGCCTCCCTCCTCAACTCATCAACCTCATACTCCATTGCACAAAACAAATGACTAGCTCCCCAGCTCTTCATAAGTTCTTTTATCCTGTTTGGTACCTCTTTGCGTTTCTCCACCGTCTCCACCCACAGCGGAATCCCCAAATCCTCCAAGTCCGTCATCAAGACTTCCAAGGTCCTCAGCATAAAGTCCACCCTTATGGGAGCCCTCAGATGCGCTTCTAGATCCTCCGGACTCAACACGTAGAGACAGATCAAGGGCACCCCGGCCTCCTTGGCTTTCTGACTGGCTAGCCAGAGGGAGCGATTGTCGTGCAGTCGGAGATCCATCTTGAACCAGTGGACTACCGCTTGGCGGACTGGTAAAGACTTGCGCAGGGCGGCAGTCTCAGCTAGTGCGGCATAGAGAGTTTCGATAGGCCGGGGCAGTTCATTGTCGTTGTAGGCTTGGGCCCGCGCGTTGGACATTTCATGCGGGTAGAACTTGCGAAGGACAATGCCGTGGGTTTCGGAGTCCTTGTAAAAGGGGTGTGGTGCACGGAGGGGGTCCGAGGACGTGTTGGGGTTGGTGGGAGGAGCATCGGTGGTGGTTTTGCGCTTCTTGTCGGCTGAAGGGTTGCCATTGACGTGTGAGGTCTGAGGCGGCGCTGAGGCCTTGCGCTTACTGGGAGCCATGGTGGTCTTGAGCTTGAAGTGAAGAGAGGTCGGCGGGAAGACGCTTGTCTTTGGTGTCAAGGTGTGGATGGTGCGAAACATGGAAGCTGTGTGAAAAAAAGGAGAGAGGAAAGAGAAACCATTCTGGCTTCACCATTGCGACAGCCGCCACAGGAGAACTAGGCACTTTCATAATGCGCGTGAGTGTGATTGCAAAGCGATGATGCGAGGTTGTGTTTGTGCAATCGGATCGCTCGATCTCTGCGATACGTCATGGTGTAATTGAATCGAGACGGATCGCCCACTCCGTTCCAGTTGCTTTGTTAGCGCATCTCCAGCGGATCTCCAAAATGCAGGGACATCCGATGACATGCGGGTTTCCATGGCAATTATGGGACGAACGAAAACAATAAGCATGGAGGGAGAGAGACAACTTGACGGAACTTACCTTTTTGAAACCGATTGCCCTGCAAACGGACTGGAGTCGTTCCCTTCGTTCTCGACATATCAGCACAAGTCACAAAAACAAAACCAAAAGACATAGCAGCCCTAGCGGGAGATTCAAACCCACGTCCATGAGAACTGGACCTCCAGACTGTGGAAACACAAATCGAATGATCATGACAGCATGTAAGACTCGTATCTGTACCATGACGAATCACTCGCTCGTCACAGCCTTTCAAAGCCTCAATTTCAATTTGCGGCATGGAAGCTATCGAGGTAGCTCCAGAATCCCCAGCCTCGAGTATTGTAACCCGGGGAGACTTGTCTAGCCGGGGGATGTGTGTGTATGTTTTGCTCAATGTCACGGTCGATTGGGTTCGGTGTCATGAAATCGGATGTAAGATGTTCGGTGTTGGTGAGAAATCTGTAGACAGACGGTATGTGGACGGAACTCGTTCAGATCATCAATGCCAGTGTATTTTTTCCGAATGAGAAACAATATCCTTCTGACGCCATTGAGCCTTTGTCAATCAAAGATGCATTTCCGCAAATCCCAGAGTTCCCAACCCAATGTCGTGGTCCCGCTGCCAGTAGTTGTTCGTCCCAAGTCGTTGCCTGCTTTTTTCCTACAGGTCGTTCTTGTGTCCAGATCGATCATGTCGGATATTGTCTGAATTGTTGGGTATCATATCAGCAAAACTGCTCTTCGGTCGAGATTGTCGATTTCGGATTTCGAATTCTCCGTACCATTGCCTCATTCGTTCAAAAACACTCCAGACATTTAGCGCTGGGGGTTCCAGACGGCCTTGAGGAGACCATCGCGCTGGGCAAGGCGGTTGAGGGAGTCGTCAGACTCGCCCATGGCGCGAACGAAGCCGGAGAGAGCGTAGATGATGTTCTCGCCCTGGATGGCACGGCCGTTCTCGTCGACCTTGGCGATGGTGATCTGGCAAGAACCGTGGTCCTTGGACTTGATGATGCGGCCCGTCGCAGAGCACTTGCGGGGGACGTAACTAGACGAGAATTCCCGTCGTTAGCATTTCACCTCACGGGAAGAATGAAAAAAATCAGCATGGGGACGGCATACAGGTCGACAATTTCGCCGCGATCGTTCTCCATTTTGGCTGTCTTTGGGGGTGCTGAGACTGCGGTTGGGGGTGTGTGGTCTGGTGACGAGGAGCGGGCAACAAGCGCAGAATTTCCGACTTGGTCAACTTGAATTTCGACAACAAAATCGCAGTTTGGTGTGCAAGCCCCAAATGTGGGCTGCCCAGTGGTGCGCACGGACGCTTTTGGATGGTTTTTGTGGCTAGTGCCCGTCCTCAGGTGTGGCTGTGGTCTAGATGCTGCCTTCCCAAGTACTTTGTACCTGCACTAACAACAACACCTGCACTGTCAGCTGATAGCGCGCTGTAGTCGTGATCGTGGTCCCTGCAAAGTGGAAGCCGTAGAGGTTCCCATCCTCGTCGCCTTCCTGCTTTGATTTCCGCGCGCGGCGCATCGAGTCGCCAAGTTGGCCCAGCGTCCACCACTAACTGAAGTCACATTTGCGCACTTGCTTCTCTTAGGCCCGGTACCTTCCACTTACTCTGCACATATCGATGGAGGAGGAGACGGTGTACTCTTCCCATCGCATCACCAGTTCGAATGGCGCACAATGACACGATAGACATCATCTCGTCGTCGCCCGAGTTCCCAGACATCAGCGTCCTAGTCGCAAAGGCAGCATCCAAGAAACCAGCGCTGCGACCCGGTAGCAATGCCACACCCATTCCCCGCGATGCAGTTGGGCTTGGAACCTTCACAAGCGCTGCTAGCATTTGGCACTTGTCGCAGGTCATGGAGGAAGAAAAGCCCACAAAAAATTCGTCATCTCGGCCAACAAAAGAGACTCTGACGATAGCAACATCAATGTCGACAGTAGCGGTTGAAGTGTCACCAACAACAACGACGGCCGTGTCTGAGGAGAAGCCGGGAAAGAAACCCAGGAAACCGAGGAAAAAGAAGGAGGAGGCAACAGCCGCCGTCGACGAAAATGCACCACCTAAACCACCAGCGAGAAGGGGGAGGCCGCCCAAGCAAAAGGACGTCGATGGACAACCTGCCTTACCCAAGTCCAAGGCTACGAAACCAGCGGCAAAACCACGGGCTTCGAGGAAGAAAGCTGAGACGGTGAGCAAGCATTTTGCCGCTTCTGCTCATGCTTCTACGGCCGATCCTCCTGTCCCAGCGGAACCCTCGAAAGATCCCGCTGCGTCGAAGCCTCCGAAACCCATACCCGTACAAAGCATAGACGAGCCAGTCGACCTAGAACCAGCAGCAAGAAGAAGACTAGATTGGACGCCACCGCCAGATGACAGACCACCACCAGCTGTGGGCAACTCGTCTGTGGTCAAGGAGTTACCGTCTTCTACGACTTCCCATACCGAACCACCAGTGGCGTTTGGAAAGCTCTTGGATACATACGGCTGTGAACCAGAGACTATTCAGCCGAGTGAAAGCACTAAAGGTAATGTACTTGGGAAGAGAAAACTGATCGAGATGGTCGCTACGACTACGACTACGAACACTGCCACAGACAAACCCACAAGTCCAGAGACGTCCCCAACCAAGCCCAAAGCCCCCAAGAAGAAGCCACGCACAATCACCGACCTAGCAACGGCCGCCTATAGAATACAAGACCCAGTTGACGATTCCATATCGACTGTGGCACCCAAACAAGACACTCTCCTGGGCTACATTGACGTGGAGGACGAGAATGCTACTATCAAACCAGGTGGCGCCAAGACAAAGGCCGCCTCCAAGAAGCCAGCAAAGGCCCGGGTCTCCAAGAAGAAGCCCGAGCCTCGAAAACAGCTGTTGCTATCTCCCCATAGCGCACTCAGGCAGGTCTCTGGTCAGAATTTTGTCTTTGGCACTTCCAGCCAGCTTGTGACGGAAGACACCGACCTCCTTCGTGCTTTGCACGAGTCGATGAAGACGGCGGGCAATGCGCAGGATAGCGATCCCTTCATGTCCAGTCCAGTCAGGTTCAGCAATATTGCTAGCAGGCGCAAGACGGGGAACAACAAGCTTTGGAAGGTTGGGGCTAGGGACGAGGACGGCGATCTGCTGGACTTGGAGATCTTTGATCTGACTGAAGCCGTGGAGGTACCGGAAGATGTGGTACAGCAAGCTGACAAACCGGCTGCTGATGTGCCTGAACGGGAGGCAAGTCCTCGAAAACAAATCGAGCGTGAGGCGGAAAGAGCAATCGAAATATTTTCATCCGATCCCATTGCCACCGAACGACTCACGATTACAGGACCCGAAACCCTGATCAGTACACTTTCAATAAAGGGAAAAGAGTCAGTTCGCCGTACTACGAAGCCTCCACCGCCAAATCCTGTTGCCCCGCCACGAGAAAGGACACCTCAACGAGCACGTCCGCCATCCCGAGATAGTCTTTCTTCTCGACTACGGAGTCCTCAAACGGAAACATCTCCGAGACCGACCACACCTCCACGAGTAAGCGCTGTGCTCGACCTCGATTACGACTTGGACGACTACGAACCGCCACCAAGTAACCAAGAACATTACCAGCTCCTTGAGCAGTCCCAGAAGACCAGTCCTTCCAAGACGCAGCAGCGGAAACAGCAGCAAACCCAGCAGCAGCAGCAGCAGCAGCAGAAAAAAAGGGACCCTCCACCCCGCCCAAAGTACGAGGTCTTTACTGATGCCCAACTAAGTCGGGAGATCGCCTCTTACGGATTTAAGCCGATCAAGAAGCGCACAGCTATGATTCGTCTTCTCGAACAGTGCTGGGAAAGTAAGACGGGGGCAGCTACAGGCAAAAGCACAGGGCTAGGTGACAATACGTTGCAGGAAGGGACAGGGAGTTTGGAGCCCGCTCACCGATCCATCAATTCTGTTGCGGTATCTCCCGACCGAGGGAGGGGCCAAACAATACAAGGCGCACATATGCAAGAAGCAAGAGCAGGAATAAAAATGGCTGCGTCCGCTACAAAAAGACCAAGGAAGAAAGCCGTAGCTGCTTCTGCGTCTGCTCCGCGCACCTCCACCACGGAAAACCCACCAAAAGCAGCAACAGCAGCATCCACATCAACAACAACTGCACCATTACCTGTTCTCTCCGCATCAACCTCCAAGCGCCAACGCCGCACCTCGTTATCTCCGATTCGCCCCCGCTCACCCATCCTCGAGATCCCCGACTCTGATATCGACATCTCCGATTCCGATCCATTCGCCTGCTCCCCGCCCGTCTCCTCACCCGATGCCTCCTCCTCTACATCCCACCTCTTCTCCACCCCCGAAAAGCACCACCAAGATCACAAACACGATCCGGCAGCAGAAATGTCCCTCATAACAGAGTGCGAGGAGTCCCTCCTGGACATGACCTCCCGCACGCCCTCGGAAGCTGATCTCTTCAAACACATAACCGAAGCCATCACCACCGCTCCCCGCACTACCAACCCTTCCGAGCCCTCTTGGCATGAGAAGATCCTCATGTACGACCCTATCATTCTGGAAGAGCTGACAGCGTGGTTGAATACGGCCGGAAAGGGACTGGATAGAGTTGGGTGGGAAGGATGCGAGGCAGGCACGGAGGAGGTGAGAAGGTGGTGCGAAAGTAAGGGCGTGGGGTGGGTATGGAGGGAGGGGAATAGGGGGCAGGTGAGGAAGAGATTTTGAGGAAATGGGTAGAGGTTTGCGCTGGCCGATGGAAAGGAGGCGGGGCGCTGACCTGGAGAGTTCCTTATGATGTTTCTTCGGCGGACTGCCGGACCCACAGCTCCGATCATACCGGGACCGCCGGTCAGGTTCACGCAGCTGTCAATGACATTTGCAAATAAATGGCAACTTGCAGTTAATAAGATGCACAACCCAAGTACAAATACATCAACCTCGAGACTCTATTGAACAACGTTCATTGTCAACAATTAACTGGATCAACTGCGGATTTTCAGAAACCGACAAGATGATGTCTCTCTTCTTCGTTTTGTCATGCTTCTTGTTGGCCATGATGCCAACGGCATTCGGGAGTTACGAAACGGACCCGCCTCCCACGTCGTCCCCCTCAATTGCAAATATCTTGGTTGATGGAGACAAGTCGGTTACTCTCAAAGTGACAACTGTCACCTATATCAGCGCCAAGAACTCTACCACGGTGGTGCCTATTTTGACTCTGTCGACCGTGGTTGAAGAAATCGCCCAAGAGTCTGTTGCTGTCCTCACCGTTCCAGCTTCCCCTGCCTCGGAGACTAAGAGCGCACCCACGCCATCGGTAAGTACAGTTCCGACCCCATCGAGCTCAAGCAGCAGTCAACGTGGTGCAAAAAACAATGCCAACGGTGGAATGACCCACGATGAGCCTTCCCCTATCACATTTGCGAGCAGCGAACACAATGGTGTTGGAGAGCCCACGAGCAGCAGCCAGCCCGAGCCCGGCCCCGTGACTGTCCATCCGACGGTGGTTTTCAGCACGAGTGCATCGAGAACATTTTCCACATCCTCGACTTCCTTTACTGGGCATGACGGTGAGATCACAGTCATCTCAACGATCAACGCTCAGGCCGACCCCAGTTCGTCTATCTCGTCGACCACCAGCCAAGATGCTCCCAGCGTTATCACGAATCTCTTAACCATGCATCGTGACAACACCACCAGCACGTCCTCGTCCACCTCTACCACATCGTCAACAACCAAGTCCGCCGACCCTAGTATCATCGTCGTGCAACCCAAGGAGTCAGCCACGCACGATGTTGTCGTCGTGCAACCCAAGGAGTCAGCCACGCCCGAGCCGACCACGCAGTTTGTCACGGTTGTCTCAACCCAGTCCGCGAAACCGGACACGGTAATTGTCAAGTCCAAGGAAGACACTTCCGTCGTGACCGAAGTAGTGAAACATACTGCTACTGCCATGGTGACCGTCTTTCCAACAAAAACCAGCTTTCTCACAAGCACCGTCCAAGCACCCCAAGCACCTGTTGTGACGGTCCATGTCGCCAACCCCTACCCCTTCGGCGTCGGGGCCTCGCATACTCCTGCCACTTATCACGAGCACGATGCTGCGGACGGTGACCCTGGCGGCCTTCAGTGGGCCCCAGGTGTGCATACGAACCCACTAGACAGGTCGGCGCAGTTTACAAAAGCGAAGCCGCCCACTTGGCCTACTTGGGGTGCTGTTGCGCAAATCATGGGATTCGTGGTTCCTTGGGTGACTGGGCAGCCGGAGGAGGTGAAGGGAACAGGGGCAGTGGCTACGATATCGCCTGTGATGGAGGAGGCGTTGAAAGCTGCTAAGACCCCGGTTGAGGCTGCGAGGACCACTCCGGCTGTTGATGTGCAGGTTCAGGCTACCCCAACCTCATCATCTACTGTTGAGGTTGTTTCTGTTGTTGATCTTGTCTCTACTGCTCGTGATCAGGGTGCTGTTGACGCTCAGGCGACTGTTGACACCTCTACTACCCCTGTTATTGAGACTACCTTTACCGTTCTGGCTACTGACGATGCTCAGGACAAGCCTAGTGTTCACGTTCGCGACTGGAACGCCGCCGAACGAACAAGAAGAGTCAGTCCCTCGAACATGTTTACCACTCTCTATGGAACCAGAAAGCCGTCCAACCCTACGAACGGTCCCCCCATCACTCGGGGCATACGAGATTTTCCGTTTTTGGGGAAAACAACCCTCGTCGGAACCCGCGAGCCATCCACCCTGACGCACGGCAATCGAATTCGCGAGAACCAAGACGGAATGGACCCTATCCAAGCCCGCGACACCTTGTCTACCTCTACCTCGACCGCCCTCCCCCCTGTCCCGGACGCCGAAACCCCTTCTGCTCTCAATCTGGAACCCAAGGGGAGCGATATGGAGAACAAGGACAAGGCCGAGAATGTGCGCCTTCTTCTGAAGGAGAAGAGCTTCTGGGATTTTCTGAAGCACGTCTTTTGCTTTATCGATGTTTACTGTGATGACGATGCCACCGATGCCTGGAAGGAAAAGAAGAAAATACTGGAATCGCAACTGGGCAACTGGATGGTGGAGCCAATCGCCGCGGCGACGGCGACGACGGCGGGTCTCACCCCTGACCCTTCTTCGATGGCCACTACCTCTTTTGCCTCTTACTCTAGCCCTACCTCTGCCCCTACCTCTGCCTCCTCTGCACCGACCCTTGACCAGGACCCGGAACCCCATGCAAAGAGGAGCAACAACACCGACAACACCGACAACATTGACACCAACGAGATGGGCAACATGAATGTGAATGTGTCACATGCGACGGAAGGCTTCTGGGATGGTGTCGCGGAAGGGGCCAACAAGTTCTTTGATGGTGTCGCGGAAGGGGCCAGCAAGTTCTTTTGCTGGCTTCTTCCTTTTACTTGTCATCATTGATGGCAGCATAGCGGTTGAATCGGAGAGATGGACTGTAGGTAAAGGGTGGTGGTGGGGGAAGAGACAGCGGGCATGCATGCACTGGAAACAATCGCAGATGAATACAACTAAGGGTAACGGGAATATGAAGGGAAGTGCGAATCTTTTGATGGAAACTAGAGGTAGAGGTAGTAGCTTGGGCCCTATCGAGGGCACTGCTACCTACCTCCAATGGAGTCTGCCACATTGAGGTGGTAATGCCCCTGGGATGTAACGACGAGGGCTGGTGTATGTTTGATTTGATCACTGGTGGGAATACAGGTTACATGCAGGATGCAGGCTTGGGGAGTTGAGCCGCGTGTGATCATGTGCTCTTTGGAAAACGGAATCTGCGACTTGCTTGATTTTTAGTTTGGTTTATCTGAAGGACAAGGAAGGCTTGAAGTGCCCTGGATTTGAGATTGACGAAGAAAGATTGGATACATGTATTTAAACGGAGACAGCTCAAGCGCACCTCTACCTCTAGCGAAAATGATTTCGAAAAAAAAAAAAAAAAAAAACCCCTCCAAAAAAAATTGGTAAAAAAGAAAAAGAAAACCATATACTACTACAGTCCAGTACTGGTTTGTTTGTTATCTCAAGATCTCGTGTCAACTTTCCTATACGTCTTCATAGCTAAGTAAAGCGTATTATTACCTTGGAAACGCCATTCCTAATATTCAATATATTATATCAATTCCTGTTAATGCCTTTATAATTCGTGCTCACCCATTTCGATTTATCCTCATAAGCTTTGGGACTATTCGGGATTGATTTCGTCTAGTATGCACCACCAGAAGTACCTACCTAGTGTAGGTACCAAGCTAACAAACAAACCAGCATTGGATTGTGTGATGTTGGCTCTCAGTCTCTTTCTTTGTGTTACTTACATGTAGGTTGCCACCTGCCTACCTCTAGGTATGTACCGAGCCATTGAGGCAGGTTTAGGTAGTGCAAACTAGAAGACTGTCATTCTTCCTCACACAAAAGATGGAAAGACAGGACACTGGCAGTGATCTTGTTGACATTCATTTTTCATTTTGCTAAACACACTGTGCTATCTCGACTGATTGCTTTGTAAAATAGAGGTTACCTAGAGGTATTTTCAACCATATTTCGGCATACTTGCCCGTGATTCAAAGACACTTCCATGCTGTTCTACATCTTTGAGCGTTGAGACATTCCCAGTGCCTTACACGGCCGGATTCCTTCACGTACCAGTTGACGTCCGTGTGCTCCCTTCAGACATCAGTCGTCCGTCAGATCAATCTCGACCTGTCCGTTTTCCAGGCGGTGCAGCTTGTAGCAAAGGGGAGAGGAGGTAGGGTCCATGGGTCGTTCTCTCTTGACACCTCTGCGTTCCTCGTTTTCGGATTTGATGCGCGGCTGTGGGACAAAGAACGGTTAACTCACCGTCTGTCTTTCTGCACAAAACAGTAGAGCTACAGGTTATGGTGCGAATGCCTACCTGGAATTTTTCTTCGACGTCGACAACCTCCTTGGACTTAACGACCGGGCGAGATACAATGCCTTCCTGCAAAAGACCCTCTACGGTATCGTACAGTGTAAGCGGCTGTTTTGACGACATAGCGCGATGGGCATGAGACTTACCCATGGTGCGGTAACGGAATTCGAAGATGGCGATGGGTCGGTTATGGGGATCGACATTTCTTGAAATGGCTACTTGACCAGGGCGATCAATGGGTTCAGATTCAAAACTGAATAGGCCTTGGTGAGCTAGATGCTCTCAGCTGTTTGTGGCCATTGGTACTTGTATTCTTACCTGACCTTGCTGTCAACGGCTTTGCCCTTCAAGTCCTTCTCACCAACAGAGAGAATAGGGATAGGACCGTCTATGTCCCTAAAAGATATAACACGACCGGTTTTGACCCTGAGATAAAGGTTGACAACAAGTGTACCGTAGTGTCTGGCGGCCTCCGCCTGAGTATTGTCCCCTCTATGTCCTTCCCCTGTACAAGATCGGGAGGTAGATTAGCGTGGCGAACCTCACATAAGAGTTGTATACCTCTATAGTACAGCCCTAGAACCACTCGATATACTTACGAACATCAAGGCTGCCGAAGTGAAACGAGTGTCGTCTCCAGCCGGTGGCTTGGCTACCAGTTCTACAATGGGATCTCTTGTTTTCGATACCAACCGACATTCGCTTGTAACTCGTGCGGAATCCGTCCATGGAAAAATTCCAATAGATTTTCGGCTCTGTCTTGAAGTCGTGGAAGTTTGTCGCGTCAAGGATGAAGGCAAAAGGCCTGCCTGGTTTGGCCTCGATGTATTTCAGCACGTAGGGAACTTTGTGGTCCGGGGTCTGCTGGAATGAATGATAGCTGATCTCTTTGGCGCGCGACTCAGCCTCATCTGGGTCGGCTTCGTATTCGTGCGCACGCTGGCCGTCGACTTCGACGGCAACCTCAAGCCCCGGAAGGCAGGTGAGAATTGCCATACCTCTATTCGGTTAGAATCCTCTATGCGCTGGTGGGTGTTGCAACCATGTGTTTGTCTTCGTGCTCAAGAGGATGTAGGGCAGTTGGTGGTGTGAAGAAGGAGAGACACCAGAGAACGTAGCGATACCAGGCTGCCTGGCTTCAAGTGCCCAGTTGAAAAATGCGGGGTGTCCAGACTTGCAAAAGTAAGGTAGGGAAGTGAATGGGACCCGAGGCAATGAAGGGACCTACCTGGGCGGTGACTGGCGCCGCTGGGGGCCGGCTTCACATGTTGCAGGCGCAGAAAACGGAAGGCGCGACTGGAAGGAACGACGGGACCCGGAGTCTGGTCACGGCAGGCTCACGAAAGCGAAGCACAAAAGGTCGGTTCCGAAACTAGCTCTTGCGCCATTACACGGACTCGAAATCCATCATGCACCTGAGCTCAAAGCGGAAAGAACTTCCAAGAATAAAGGGGAAAGCTGACTTCCACTGTTTGTGGTGTTTGTATGATGACTTGTCAAAAGCAATGGTCCGTTTACCATGGGAACCAAGACTCAAGTGATTTTGATGCTTCCTGATTTCTCAATGTTGAAACAATCAACAATGGATTGTATGGCCTCCGAACTGAAAAGTTCCTCTTAGTTGTAAGCAGAAAAAAATAGTTCATACCGATCTTATTGTACATCCGCACTGCTGTCTTGATAGGCATATTGTGGTAGCGTTGGTCAGGGCCTGGCTGAGAAGAACATACATGTACCTCTAGAGACTGTGTCCGGGTTATCTTGATGTCGAACATTGTCAAGATCATAAAGGTGTTCAAGTGCCGTGGCTAGGTATACATCAAGACCGGTTTCTCTAGACCAAAGAATGATGGTACGTAGATGGCCGTGGTTGCCGTTATTGCTGGCCAGCATCCATCATGTTGGAGATGGGGCGCCAGAAGATGCAGAAGACCTGGAATCTAAACGGCAGTTGTAATGTAATGGAAGGCGAGATAATGGATGTTGTTAGAGAATTTGCGCATGATACGGGTATTAAACAGATATCTTGCGTGGGTCTCTGCCTACACATATCAAAACACAAATGCCTTATTACACCAGTCCTCCCTACCTCTAGCTTTGCGGGTACTTCTAGGCTCGTCTGTATGGACAGCTTCACATCGTCATCAAAAGACAGACATTCCCGGTGCTGTGTGCGATTACCTCACGTCTTCAAGTACTCCTTGACGACGACCGGGTACCAAAGATACTTGTGAGTATCAATCGTCCGTCAGGTCAATCTCGACTTTTCCGTCCTCCAAGCGGCGTAGCTTGTAGCAGACCGGAATATGGGTTGAGTCTACGGGTTCTCTTTTGATACCGCGTTTTATCTCCGGGTCCGGTTTGATACCGCGTGTATTCTTCGGGTCCGGTTTGATATCAGTAAGGGGCTCCTGGGAGATCTGAAGCGGTCAGTAGGTAGTCTGTTCACACCGGCAAGCTTGGCTAGAGGTACTAGAGTTGGAGCGGCTCACCTGGTGCGCTTCTTCGAGATCAATGAGTTGATCGTCCTCATTCTTGACAGGGCGCGGAACGATGCCCTCGGACATAAGGCCCTCTATGATAGGGGGATAAGCAAAGGACCGACCTACGGGACGTAACATGAATAGACAACATTGTAAGCCTGACCTACCCATTGTTCGGTATCGGAACTCGAAGATCGCAAATGGTCGTTGATCTGGATCAACATGCTCGAACCTGTGGACTTTCTTTGGACCAGAAATGAGTTCAGAGTTGAAACTGGATCGGTGAATGTTAGCTGAGTCCTCCAGTGAATTCGGATATGTGGTAGAAACAGGTACTCACTGGACCTTGCTATCCACTGATTTCCCCTTTAATGCCGTCTCGGAGACAGACTGAACAGAAACGGGGTCATCAAGAGGTTTCAGTACTGATGTTCGACCTGAGTCAATAGCATGCCATAACTTGACTGAAAGTGTGCCAAATTGCTTTGTCCGATCTCCTTGTGTCTCAGCTGCTCCTTCCACTGTAACAAATGAGAGTCAGTTCGGTAAAGACTGACAGTAACTTCATGTAATGCGATCTCGCGCAGAGAGGAATTGAAGTTGTTGATATTACCTAGCTCGAGCGTGGAAAATTGGAACCTGTGGAGTTTCCAGCCCGACTCATTGTTGCCAGAGAGGGAAGAATCTCTCGTTGTCTTAGTGCCGCCGGGAAGCGAGTAGTAGCCAGTAGGAATCCCGTCCAGAAAACATTGGTATTCGGCCTTGTGTTTCTGGCCATCGTGACTTGGAATAGAGAATTTGGTAGAATCCAATTTGAATACAAAAGGTTTTCCGGGCATGGATTCAATGTATTTGATGGTGAAGGGAGATCCTGATTCTTGAATAGGCACATGAGTAATTGAGTGAAAGTCAATCTCCTTGGCGCGCGCTTCAACCTCATCTGCGGGGGCATCGTACTCTTGCGCGCGCTGGCCATCAACCTCGACGGTAATCTCAAGCTCCGGGTAGCCGGTGAGGATTGCCATCTTGGTTGGAGCCGTGCTGGTGGTTGCCGCTCTCAATGAATTGGGCAGAACGGATCGATACGGTAGATCGTGCTGGACGCTCCTGTTTCAGATGTCGGGAAGGGGATGGTGAATGAGAGAAGACACGACAAGCGAGGCGGGGTTCCAGAAAATTTAAGGGCACCGCTCCTGCCATCGGACGAGTCCATGACGCGTCCGGGTCCGGTCTCGTTCAGATACACACAAATGGAAGGCGCAACTGGAAGGAGCGATGGGCCTGGTCACTGCACTGCAGGCTCGCAAAACACGTGAGCCAAGTTTCAGTCTACAAGGCACTCGAAGCCAGAGCGCACCAGTACAAAAGGATGTGAAAAAAAAAAAAAAAAAAAAACACAAACTGCCCGATCTCTTGTCTGTTGTGCCTGGTCCATGATGACCTCGCTCGCAGCAGAAACTTGTAATTGGGGATCAAAGGAGATAAAACTGAATGGGACGCCCCATCATTGCCGTGACAGTGAACCGCCCGCACCACCACCACCACCACCACCACCACCGACCCCATCCACCGCCGTTACGAACTTGACGCTCTTCCTCCTTTCTTTGTCTCTCTCACCTCGGCCCCCTCCATCTGCTTTACTTCCCTCTCCACCATGTCCAGTAAGACCACCACTCATCCAGGCCCCGATCCTCCCCGGACTTGAGCTCAGTATCCCCGTCACATTATGACTCTGAGATCCCGACCCCGAGCCATGTGAAGTCTGCGAATGCGAGTGATGAGCCTGTATCCCACCTCCCGGTCCGATCCCAAATGCCAAGCCCGTCTCCCTGACGCTTTCTACCGCTCTGCTTTGTGCCACAGGAGGGGCGTCGTCGCCGCTGCTGCCAAGTAATCTGCCACCTGACTCGCTGGTTGTTCCAGCAGAAGCGAGAGCAGAAAGAGCTGGAGGTCCGAGGTCGACGTATCCTCGATCGGCGGCCGAGCCAAGGAGGGAGCTGTCGCCCTGGCCGGTGAGGCTGGAAAGGCCGGAGCACACGGGTGTCTTGTTACCGCCTGAGAACACGGGTGTCTTGATACCACCGCCCGAGAACACCGGTGTCTTGTTCCCTGCCGAACGGCTGTAACTGCTAGGAGCGGAAGCCTCTCGCTCTCTCTCACGCGCTGTCCCCGCCCGGCTCGGAACTTCGGTCATCATCTCGCCCATTCTGGAGGCCATACCGTGGCCATGTCCCGTATCGGTTCCGGTACCTCGCATCGTCCCCCAAGGCAGTTTCATCGGGCCAGGCAGGCAGACATGCCCACACCCATCTAGCGGACAGAAACCGCCGCTTGAGGCCAGTTCGGCAGCTGGGTCGTCGTTATCAACTGGTCCATCAACGTACATGGCTGAGTCCCGCTCAGCTTCAAAAGCTGCATGCCAAGCCTGCATACAGGAGGAGTGGCCCCCGTGCCCACAGCCGGGGCAGAGCCACCAGGTTGCGATGGGCTGGTAGTCATCTTCCCCTTCCCGATCAGGCTGGAGGGAGGAGATGGTTGATTCTGAGGAAGAAGGGATAAAGGGAGACGAGTCGCGATGACCGCAAAGCGCGCATGGGGCTGCAGCAGCTTTACACCGCTTACACGTCCATACTGAATCCGTCGACGCCTCGCTGCGATCCAACTCCCTCGCTTTGTGACACGAGCTGCAAAAGAATCCGACTGACACGCCGTTTTGCGCCGGGGTCAAGATGGCTGGGTAATTAATTCCCCAGTCTTTCAGCGCATTCTTCTCCTGATCACCGGGCATGGACTCGGCGGCCGCGGCGGGCCAACCTTGCATGCATAATTTCCTGAGAAGAGCCGCCTCGACAAAGAGTTTGAGGTTCATGAGGCGGGAGTGATGCTGCCGAAGGATGGCTGCTGCTTGGTAACTGTCGATGACTTCGTCGGATACCAAAGGCTTGAGGAGGAGGACAATGGCCGAAGCGTTCAAGGCGGAGGACTTGGCTTCGAAGGCCAGAGTACGGGATATCAGAGAGTAAGGGTTCAGCGGGGGTGTAGTACTGGAGAAGGAGGAAGTGTGGTTGTGAAGAGGGTAAGGATACGCAGGATCGGAAGGCCAGGGTAGGTAATCGGTTTCGATTATGTGGGTGGGTTCTGGTTCCGGTTCTTCGGGAAAAGTAGGGGGTTCGTCGGTAATGACGACGGGTGGTGCGGCATGCAAAGTGTCATTTTCGTTTTGGGAGGGAAAACTGTCGTCGGTAGTGGATTGCGTAATGGCATGGTGCTCGTCAGTATAGGCCGTCATTCCCGTCATTTCAGTCTCGGTACGATTGAGCTGCGGGGGCACGACGAAGCGGGGACGACCGAAGCTGCCCATTTGGAGATCGGACGCTTGTTCGGAACCGTCGCTACCCCGGGGGTAGCGGATCTCGGCAAGGGCAGAGCCACGGATGGGCAGGCCGCCGCTGGACTCGACAGAGCTGGCAATGGCGGTTCCTGTTGTTCCGCAGCCGCGGCGACTACCGGCAGAAACGGAGAGGCCATGCCCGAAGCTGTCATCGGAATCATGGCGCAAAACGGATTTTCTCGGGTCTTCGTGACGTTTGCGAGGTACGTCGATGGCATTGCCGAGGATTGCTTCGGTGTCGTAGAAATCGTATCCTTCTGTGCTGGCTTGGGTCTGTTCGCTATTGAAGGAGACGACGGACAAGGGGACAGAGTCGAGACGGCTACGTTTCTGTGGACCGCGAGGTTGGAGCGCAGGGCCGAGTGCAAAACTGCCAGGCTCCAGAACTGGCGCCAGCTTCTCGGACTCGGTAACAGGCCGGGCAAGGGGCGTCGGTTGGTTCGAGGTGCTCTCTAGCTCTTCTGACAGCAACGACCTGGGATTTGCCTTTCGCGGTGTATCTGCCCCATCGGTCTGGACTGACATCTGAAAAGGAGGACCCAGCGCGCGTAGCTGGGCCTCCGTCTTCCTCTTCTCGAAGTGATCAAGTCGACGTTCCAAGTGGTACTGCCCTCGTCTTCGTAAAATCAGGTCCACCCAGTAAGCGAGAATGCGCCATGACTGGGCAAGCCGGTACTGATTGACGCTATCGGCTGCTTTGGCATAGTGATCGAGGATAGTCCTGACTCGGTCGGGCAGTGGCCTGCCTCCTTCGACGTGTGGCAGCTCCTGGTACAAGACCTCCAAGTAGTTGATGGTAAGGTATTCGTACACATCTACTGTTGCAGCAGCAGGCAAATGTCCAATGGCCATAGCTTGTTGGGGCTTGTAGGTGCCGGTGACCTTGATGGTCTGTTCCAACGACAAGACCTCTTCCGAACCCGTCGGGGGTGTCGTGCTCAGGTTGGCTGACCTCGTGCTTGGACGCCGCTTCCGCTGCCGCTTGGGGCCCAGGAAACTTCCGATAACATCATCTTCCGAATCGCTGCGGCTGACACCAAACCTGGGAGTGGCAGGACTCGAGCTATAGGAGGGCGCACTAATGCTGTGGCTGCTGTCGGCATGTAGCATATGTGGCCGTGGACGATGGGAGGGAGCACGCTCGTCTAGAAACATTAGCACGTCTCCCTGTGACGAGAAGGACATGGTCGAGACGGCCTGCCGGTCAAGCACCTTGGGCGCAAAGTTGACATCGCACTGTGTGAAAAGACCATCCTGGCCGACGGTCCATAGAAGATACTGATCGTGCCAAAGAAGAGCGTTGGGTGAAGTGTCAAACAGCTGGATCTCCCTATACGGCATCGTAGGACGGGCGAGATCCCAGATATGCACCGCATTGATACCAAACTTCTTCTGACTGCCCTCCCCATACGACATGGCGATCTGGGAAGCCCTCTTGGCCTGGGCCGTCGCTGACCATTGCCCTGGTCTCCAGGCAAGAGAAGCCACGGGTGCCGGAGTCGATATAGTCCATTTCGGCTTCTGTCTCTTGTCGGGAACCTTGCCCAGGTGCCAAACATGACACTTGCTGTCCCATCCAGCACTCACGAGATGTTCGCCGTCGGGATGCCAGGCAATCGAAGTACACGACTTCTCGTGGGCGTTGATCCTCAGGACGGGCGCATGGTACTTGCGCATATCCCATTGGAGGATGGTGCCCTGATCAGTTGAGCAGGCAAAGACAAAGCCATCTTTGGGAGACCAGCGGACCTGGCGCACGCCGTCTGCGTTGCACTTGTAGGCGTGGACGGGACGGAAAGTGGCGCCGGTTCGCGAGGGGATCGGGTTACGGATATCGAAGCAGCGGACGATGCCGTCTTGGCTGCCAGACAACAGGTAGCTGGCCCGGTGAGGATTAACGTCGAGTGTGTTGACCTGTCGAGAGTCTTCGCGAATCTGGAGAGACTCGAGCGGGGATCCGGTAGCCCAGGCCTCGCTGGCGCGCACCAGGTCGTACTGGAAGATCTTGCCGCTGCCACATGCCGTGAAGACGGTCGGGTTGCCGCCAGCAGGGCCCCATTTGACATCTCTGATAGCTAACTGATCTGGGCTTCCTCCCTGGAGAAGCGAGCGAAGATCGATCCCCTCACGAATGCTGAGGCCGTCAAATGTGACGGTTCGTAGCGCATGGCGGCCAGCAAGAACAGCTGATCGGCCATCCGGGGACCTGTCTATGCACTCGAGGGGTTGGCCAGCCTGGTATGAGGCATTCTGGGCGGCAGTGGGACGTTGACGATAGTTGGAGATGGCCGCCAGGCCGCCGCTGGGGTTGCTGGTAATGTTAGAGCCGTGAGAAGTGCCATTGGCAACCGAGGACGACGGCGTGTTCTCGTGCGAATTGTTGGCCGAAGAAGAGTCGGGGTTGTTATTAGTCTTGCCCAGTAGCTTGCGCATGATATTACCCTGGTTATACATGGCCGCGACCCCGTGTTGTCGTGGTTCAGATTGTTGTTGTTACTATGTAATGTCGTCGTGTGTCTCGCGAGGCCGTGATGCCGTCGAGAGCATCTTCTTTGCGGGTCCTTCAGGGCGCGACCAAGGAACGTTGGAGGGTGTCAATGAGTGGTGACATTGGAAGGAATGGGATATCTCGCCAAGGTCTCCTCGGTGAGGAATGCGCCGGTGATGTTGTGGTGGTGATGTGATGTCGTCGTGGGATGTTCTTAGGTACTTTGTAATGTTTTGGTGGGGTTGATGGAGGGAAGCTATTCCCAGGCAAGTGGAATGATGCCACAATGCCTGCCGGCTGTCCCCTACTTGCGGCTATTCTGCCAGCCTTGACCGCCAAGATCTTCCATCCATCGGAGCTGCCTGCCGTTAGCGCATCTCGTCTGTTGTCAGCGCGTCAGTCCACTGAACAACTGAAGCTTCCACTCGACGGGACTTCCAGCCTTCTGTTCCCTTCCATTTCATCATCACCAGAACATTGCCGCCCACTGTTTACCTACACCGACGGCACACATCAACTATACTACCTCAATCTCACCAACATTACCTAACCATTGACTTTACGCGACTTCTACCAGTACCGGTTCAGACTCCGCGTGAACACAGAACGAGCTCATCACTTTCATCGGGCGCCACCATGAACCCCGACCGACAGGCCATGATCGCCGGCTTGGGCAAAGGTCGAGACCGAGACAACAAACGAGACATCACTGCCCCCAGACTCGACAACAACAACCGCATCTCGAAACCCCAATACAAGCCCTCCTCGAAACCCATCACAGGTTCAAACAGTACCCCGGTCGGCAGCTCTGGCCCCGGCAAATACCTTACCCAGGACGAGCAGTCGGAGCAATTCGTCGCCGACGAGGACAAGTTCGTGCTCAAGCAAGCAAAGAAGAAGGCCGACATCCGCGTCAGAGAACGGCGCGCAAAGCCCATCGACTACCTTGCCTTCAACCTCCGCTTCATCGACACCGACCGCGATGTCTTTGACGACCACGATGACGACGTCGACATCCCCGTGCCCTCTCCCGAGAGAGTCCTCCAGAACCTGAACGAGTCCCAGCTGAAGGAGTTGGAGGAGGATATCAAGTCATACAATACCCTCGAGACAAACCGCCGCAACAAGGAGTACTGGTCAGCCCTGTCCATTCTGTGTGACGAAAAGCGAAACAAACTCAAACCACAAGGAGCAGAGGGACGTGCCGTCAACACAGTGGCTGCGGATGTTGACAGGATTCTGGCACCCAAGACGTTGGAGCAGTTGGAGGCGTTGGAGAAGCAGATCAGGGCGAAGCTACAGTCCAACGAGCCCATCGATACCGACTATTGGGAATCCTTACTCAAGAGTCTGCTGGTATACAAGGCAAAGGCAAAGCTGAAGCACGTGTGTTTGGAGATCAAGGCCGCCCGCGTCGAGGTCCTCAAAGCCAAGGACCCCGAGAGGGCGAAAGCCTTGGAACAAGCCGACGCCCTCCCTGATGCCGCCCTCGCTTTGACCTCGGGCCCTTCCAAAGCCTTGAGCCGCCCTACCGCCTCGACATCAACACCACTCGCTGCATCCTCCAGCAACAGCAGCAGCAGCACCGCCCCGCCCCCAGGTACCGCTCGCTTCGCCTCCACCGGCAATGAAGACTTCTCCCAAGCCACCAAGGCCCTCTACGACCGGGAAGTCGCCCGCGGCTTCCTCGAAGGCGAAGAGATCTTCACGGCCGAAGAATCCCTGACCTCCAACCCCAAGCCCGTGTGGGCCGACAAGTACCGTCCCCGCAAGCCGCGCTACTTCAACCGCGTTCTGATGGGCTACGAATGGAACAAGTACAACCAAACGCACTACGACCACGACAACCCGCCGCCCAAGGTTGTGCAGGGGTACAAGTTCAACATATTCTATCCCGACCTGATTGACAAGACCAAGGCGCCCACATTCAAGATCATCAGGGAGGGCGGGAGACGCAGAGGAGAGAGCTTTGCGCCCGCGGGCAAGGAGGATACCTGCTTGATTAGGTTCGTGGCCGGACCGCCGTACGAGGATATTGCGTTTAGGATTGTGGACAGGGAGTGGGATTATAGCGCCAAGAAGGAGAGGGGGTTCAAGAGTAGTTTTGACAAGGTGAGTCATCCTAGGTTGTGGGTTGTGGTGGGCGACATTGCTGTTTGGGCCGGTGGGCTGTTGGTGACAGCGTTGGTCCCGATGGCTACGTTGGCCTATTACCACGGCCCCTATAACAGGCCAACGCTATACATTTCTACGCCATCCAGCATCCGCCGATTACCCGTGCGTTTCTGGCCTTACCGTTCTTGTGCTAACCCATTACTTGTGTGTAGGGCATCCTTCAACTACACTTTCAGTTCAAAAAGGTTGGTGATCTGGTCTCCCTTTTGGTTGTACCGGCCAAGGCTAACAGTGTCTGTGCAGATTTACTACAGAAAGTAAAAGAAGCCCAGTGCCATATGACCACCGCCTTCTGGAATGCTGGTCCGGCCTGCGGCGAAGCCTTCGGCTGGTCTTTTGGTCTGGTAACTTCGGTGTCGTGTTCTATAGGTCGATATGGGACCGCGGAAGCTGCTGCGGCCCGTCTGGGCTCGATCCCTGTTCCCGGTCTTTGGATGAACTGGGCGCATTGTCTGATTATGAAAGAACACACGAGAGAGCTTCCAAGTGCGGTGTGTTGTGGAAGGGCTGCTACACCGCCGACCGGGGACGACGGGAACGAACACGGGGCACAGATGAGACGATTTCAAGGCTTCGTCTAGAAGGGTGGGAATGATGCCGTTCCCCGGGTAGACCGGGGCATTGGGGCTGGATGCCGGCAGCATTCTGGTCTTCTGGGTGGATGTCATTGTCTTGTCTCGCGACAGTCGAGCGGCACGTCAGCGGGCACTCCTGAAGTGGAGGGATCATGGATGGAGACGGGACTGGACCGGCTCCTCTCCGTATGCGACAACCCGAACTTTTGGAGCTTACTAAATCCCTGGTGCGATGGTGTGCGATTGGATGATTCATGTTTCTTCGGACCATCGGATTTTGCGAGGAAAGAACGAGATATCCGTCTCCCGTCTGTCTGTCTCTCTGCCTAGGTGTCTGGGCACCGGCGAGACAGGACCAGGTGTCAGCCCAACCCTGGAGACGGAGAAGTACAGAGCAGTCCGGATGTCATGTCAATCTATCAGCCGTTCATCTTGCAGTCAGCCTGCCAGTCTGTCAGTTTTGTCAGATGGTGAAGGGTGGGAGGAGTGTTTCGTTGTCTGGACGCCTGGAGATGACGCAGGGCACACTGCACTATCAAGACACGTTCCACAGGATAGCTACAGTCTGAGGCTTTCTTGAGGCTGGCAGAAATAACCGGGGTGGCTTTTCTTTCGATCTTCCTCCGTGGCATGGAGATAAGGGGTGGCCTGGTCTGCGAGGCGTCGGTCACCGTCAGAGACGTGGAAGTTGGCTGCCTCGGCTGCCTCGGGGTCGGCCGGTAAATGAAGCCAAGCCCGATTTTCGATTCACGCTCATCATTTGTTCGACACATCCTTCTAGAATGAAACAAAGTCTATGTTCTGCATGTCACAAGAGATTACTATTTAAGAGGTCATGGCACCGTGCAAGCCGTGCAAGCCCGAAGCCGTGTGGAGAGAGATGATGAGAGACCGGGCTGAGTGCGCACGTCAATCAGTACGCAGTCGACCTGTTGTTCAGTTGTTCTGGCGCCTCTGCCCTTGGGAAACATTGACCTCTTGACCTCTTTGAACGGCCATCTCTTGTGTTGAAAACTCCGCCGTTTCTTCCATGGCCCGTCTGCCCACTAAAGGCCCCATGCCAGCACAGAGTGACAATGGTGGGAAGCACTGATTGGGCCGTTTCAAAAAAGACCACCTCTTAGCACCACCACGAGTGGCTGCACCTTTCCGTTAGGATCTGGCTACGGCCAGCCAATTCTGTCCGTCCTTGTGGCATCTTCTCTCTTGTGTCTGGTCTGCAATGGACCTAGGACTCGCTGACGAGACCGGCGTGCCGCTGGCTGACTGGCTGGAAGCTTCCCATTGCCGCAGAGAGAGCCTCACTCTGATACGCCCAAGTCTACTCCCACTGCTGTCGCTGTCCTAGCTCATGCTGCCGTCATTGACCGCTTCCACGGCTCCCAGAGTTCCAGACAATAGCTCTTCTTCGCTTCTGCCGGTAACCCTGAGCGCTGGCCAGCCAAGGCCCAGTGAGAGGGAGTCACAATGCCCGACTATGAGATTGTTAGAGCTGAACTTATTTTGTCCTCTCAAGGTCTGGCCATTTTTACTACCCCAAACCAAAACTGTTGATTGTGTGGATTGTGTCGTCAATTGTCTTTCGCTTGAGGATTGTTGTAAACAACAACTTGAACAACAACGACATGGACTGGACGACATGAACAGACCAAATCTTCGGACCCCCCCTTTCCTACTTCCCCTACTGCCCCTTCGAACAAGCCACACTTCAAACTGCATCACGGGCAAGCATGCTTCTTAGTCGCTGACCGCCAAGTTTCCCTCCACTGCAGTTCTGGCGCCGCCTTTCTTCAACGTCAAGTTACGGTGGGCTTGACACTGTAGAGCCAGGTATCAGGTCTTGGCTTGAAAGCACCAGGCATATTGAGCAGGGGTTTAAAACCCCGGTCGTCAATTCTGTCACTTTTCTTTTTCTTCCATCGTGCCGTCTTCCCTGTCTTTGCTGCCGGCTCTGCGATGTAGGCAGTATGTGAGAATTATTGCACGCACTGGTACACTCGCAGAAGATGAAAATCATGGGCATGGATGCTGCTGTGGCCTGCTGTCTGGGGTTGTGACGAGCACCGAACCCTTCTCATTTCCTTCTCACAGGTACCTCACCTAGGAGACTGAGGGAGGGGTGTCCATAACACAGTCGATCCGGCGCCGATTGGTCAACGTCCCTGAGTACCTTACCTTCTTTACATTCACCTTCGTCCCCAGAAGCAAGCCACGCAGAGCTACTGCCTATAGCGTGTTGATCTTCAACTCTATGATTTCGTTTGTTCTACCTCTTCCACGGTAGAAAACATGCCGTGTAGAGTGCGCATGGCCACACCATGTACACACACAGCAATGAACTGGAAGCCAGGCCATGGCACAACGGCCGCACCCTCATACCAGCCATGAATGGAAGGTATCGCAAACCCACCCGGTACTCTCTCCTTGCGCCCGCTCCCGCCGGGTGTGGAGGTAGATGTCTGGTCCACCAAACAAAAGTGAACAAACTGTGTTGGCAGAACCCTCACTCACTGAAGGCAAGGCAGGGCAGTGTCCTCCCTTGGGATGTACACCACCGCACTCAGTACACACTTTGGCCCCCCCTGTTCTGCTTGGCTTGAGATACCCACCCCTTACTGCTACTGACATGGATGGAGCTTCAACAACATAGCCAGATGTTGCTATACGTCCAGTATCTGCATAGCTCCATGTCCTTGTATCGATCTTCTTTCCCCTGGTCCCTGGTCCTGGCAGATACAGACATACACCTACATACTTCAACTGCCAGTCAACAGCCGTTTTGCCTGATAACTGAGACATCTGGACCTCACACCTTCAATATCAAATCTGTTTCTCCCCACACTTGAAGAAAAGCATACATACCTAGGCCAACAACCTTCGTTGTCTTGGATCACCAACATTGATCAAAGCCATTCTTCTCTTCTTTCTTCCCTGGCTCACTTAGCAACGACACTTCAGTAATGGACACGGAATCAACTACCGAAAACGAACACCCAACAACGTCAGACACAATGGACTCCTCAAACTCATACATGTTATCACTACAGGTCACCAGAAGCCAGACCAGCAGCCCGGTTGCATGTGTGGGAGGCATGACGGAAGGAAAGACTCAGGTTGGCGTATCACTATGGAACCCTTCGGTCCGGGCGCAAACCGGGAGTGACGAGTTCGAGCACTATGCCTTCCACAGCACCGCAGGCTCCTCAACAGCACCTACAAATGGGTACGGAGGACTTACACAACAGTGTCTGTCTAGCCAGTCATCGCCCCGCAGCTGGAGTTCACCAGACCATCACTTTCGTCCGGTCTCTGCCTCAGGTTCTGGCTCTTCTTGGGGTTCCTACCCGGCGGAGCAGTCATACGCCGGGGTCGCTGGCAGGCAGACGAACACCCCCCCACCACAATTTCCATCCAAGACCTTATCGAGAGAGAACCACAACGCCTCGAAAACAACTTCATATCCTCCCACCGGTTCCTTCTTTCCCAGTCACCATTATCCCACCCATAACAGCATCTCCTCACTTTCTCAAGAATCGGAATACCCCCCTTCTCCCTGCAGTTCCATTCCCAATAACTTCAAGCTCGACTGCGACTCAGACACCTCCATGTTGAGCACCGCCCCCGCCTCCGAGGCCGGCGATAACTTTCTTGTCAGCAACCCATATCCTGCGTACAATCTCCTTGGTGACAGCAACATGAATGGCGTAAGCACCTGCAGTAGCGTCTCCAGCCCAGTTTCTCCCTCGGCTAGCCTTGATAGCACCCCGACTACTGCCTCTATTCTCCCCGGCAACAACAAAGCCGAGCTGCCCTATGCGCAGCTTATCTACAAAGCGTTCATGAGCACCCCCAACAAGGCCATGACACTGCAGGATATCTACCAATGGTTCCGCGAGAACACCGAAAAGGGCAAGAGTGATACAAAAGGGTGGCAGAACAGTATCCGTCACAATTTGTCCATGAACCATGTGGGTGTCCCTTCCCTCTAATCCCACATTCACTATTACATCAGCTAACACTCATTAGGCGTTCACCAAACGAGAGCGCAAGCCCGAAGGCAGCACCAACACCAACATGAACGATGAAGACAATAATGCCTCCACAGATTCCAACAACAGTGATAACAAGAAGTCCACGGAATGGTATCTCGAGCCTTGGGCAATCAAAGGCGGCGTCCAGTCTACCACACGCTACCGTAAGGGCAACCACGCTTCGCGACGGGCTGCGGCAGCCTCGGCCTGCAACGCCTCCCGCCGCCACATGAAGGACGGCAAGTACGATTTGTACAGCAACGGCATGTCCACTCTATATCGCTCTTCCCCCTCCCTTGCCAACCGTAACAAGATCTCCAAGTCGAACAACCGCGCTACACTCCGTAGCAACGGAACGGCTCCTACGGAATTGCAAATGCACTACTATACCTCCAGCCATCACATCCCTCAACAACATCCCTTCGGAGTCAGCATGGTTACCTCTGCGCCTGAGCAACACTACAACCCGTATATGTCTCCCGTCTCTGCAAGGCCGGCGGTGACGCATAGTTTGCCAGAAATAATGTCCATGTCTGCTACCTCTGCCCCTTCCTGCGCCGCTGACTTTTACGAGTCCTACACCGACCCTGCCATCCTTGCCTCTTCGCTCGAGCAACAGCAACAGCAACAGCAACAGCAACAGCAACAGCAACAGCAACAGCAACAGCAACAGCAACAGCAACAGCAACAGCAACAGCAACAACAAGGCCAAGCTCAAAGGGAGGCGTCGGAGCCAATTTCGGTGATGAACGAGCCCATCACTCCCGAGGCCAGTTTCGGCAGCCCTCCGCTCATGGCGGCGAACCCCACGAGCAGTAGCGCGAGTTACTATCCCAGCCCTGAGGATCACGCCATGAGCTTTGCCAGTGTCCATCACCACGCCGGGTATCATCAGCCTCAAGTCTACCAGGGCGAGTCCCGGTATGGCCATCACAACGGCTGGGAACATGCCCAGGGCGTGGCGGTTCCAGCTACGGGAATGATGTATGGGCATTATGCATAGATGCTAGCACTTGAGCACAAAACAACGAAGAGATAGGCGGCGGCTTGATGCTACGACTGCAGGAAGCCAAATTGTACCAATACCAATATTACGATCATGAGGTCACGACACAACAAACACAGAAGGCGATACCCAAAAAAACTTGCTTTTGATTCATTAGATTTGGTGGGGGGTTGTTTTCCTACCTCTATTTTCTTTTTCTCCATCCGTATCTTCCTCTCTTTTTTTCTTCTTCGCATTTCGCAGCTGCTCTTAAATTACCAGTCTGGCAAGCAGCGTCTTAGATATGGGGCACTGGTTTCCAGCTAGTGGTTCCCTTCATGTCACTGCTTGCATGGTTCTACTCTTACAGCCAA